ATAAAAGAACTGCATCTTTAACATGTTTACCTTATCTCTCTCATTTGTATTACTTTAACTGTAAGTATGAAATGGGCTGTCTATAAACACTGTTCCAGAGAATTCTCATTCCATTTGTTAATCTCTTCCTATCACTGTTTGTTTGTTTGTTTGAGACGGGGTCTCATGTAGTCCAAGCTGGTCTTCAATGTGCTAAGTAGCTGAGGCTGACCTTGAACTCCTAAACTTCCTGTCTCAGTCCGTCACATGGCAGGATTATAAGCCTGGGCCACCACCTTGTGCTTCTTATCTTTCTGATGACATGTAGACGTAAAATATAAGTGTCAGCACTCATTGATCAGGTGGGTCCCTCCACAGTCTCACTACTGTCTCCACTACACTCAAAGCCTGAGTTTCTATGCTACAGTAGCTACACAGGTGGGCTGGCAGATATCCTTGTGCAGGTCTCCCACATAAAACTTTATTCTATTTGTGATTTGACCCTCTCCCTTGATAAGTTATCAATTTATGTCATCTTCCATTACTGCTCTACCGAGGACATGCCTTAGAAGAAAACCCCTAAATTCTCTGCTTCAGCAATCTAATTTTAACACAATTGAAAACACCCAGCCTGCAGCAATCTAAACCCCTGAGGACCTTCATTTGGATTGTAAAATATTAAAGGCTCTAAGAGTCTTGAATGAAAGTAATTTGATTTATTTTGTAGCATAGACTATAATGATGTTTGTTTGATTACAGATGCTTTTGTCAATTAATGCCTATAAAACCCTTGGAGAAATAAGAGCCGGCGTTCATTGAACAATTGATAGTATGAACTAATAACAACGTTTGTTTTGAGCATTTTTGACAACCTTAGAGGTATTATTTTCTCCATTTTAATGATAAAAATAATGAGGCACAGTGAGTGTGTAACTTTTCCAAGATCAGAGAGTAGGGTTGCATGGGAACTAGGATTTCATCAGGCCCTCCGATGCTCGAGCACAAAGAGCACAAATAATTCACAGTGGTACTAATGTGATGCTGCGGGCATCCTGCATTCCCATCCCTGTAGTGGCTTCTGAGAGTAGAAGCAATGGAGCATCCTGAACAAATTTTTTTTGTTTTGTTTTTTTGGTTTTTTGAGACAGGGTTTCTCTGTGTAGCTTTGGAGCCCATCCTGGCACTCACTCAGGAGACCAGGCTGGCCTCGAACTCACAGAGATCTGCCTTCCTCTGCCTCCCGAGTGCTGGGATTAAAGGTGTGCGCCACCAACGCCTGCCCTGAACAAATTCTTTAAGGCTTCTTCAGAGCTATATAGAATTTCTTTCTAATTTGTAATAAAATGCTCAATTGTGTCTGTCCTGCTTTTTGCTCAGCTTAAATGCAGACACACAAACATATATATATATATATATATATATATATATATATATATA